TCTCTCCTGATGAGTGTCACTGACTGTTCCCAGGACCTCATGGGAGTGGATCAGACAGTCTTTGTCCTTATTTGTGCATTTGGCCTACCTTACTAAGCCTAATGCCTTCCTTTAGTGGGTATATAATAACTGTCGTGGGTCAGGGAACCAAGGAGAATTTTCCCTTAAGGGTTACCCCTTTGAAGCCTTTCTGGTGGGTTGAGGAGGAAGGGAGAGAAGGGACAAGTTAGGATGTAGGAGCTGGTCACAGCCCAATGCACGCTGCCCGTTTTTTTGAGTGCTGTGTTGCTCATCTCTACCAATTTGTCACTGTACAGATATGCTGAGTTGGGTGGGACTCAAAGATCAGCCAGTCCATGCTATCCCTTTATAGACTGACAGAAACAAGATAAAGGAGTTAGTCATTGGATTGCCCAAGGCTGCTCTACCTGGATCCCTGACAGCACTCCTCTGCCAGCAGTTGCTGGGCAGCCTGGCTAGATCTCATGCCTTCTGGTCTTGCCTTCCTGTCCTCTCATGCCCATCACTCCATCTTGTCAGGGGAGGCTCCATGGCTGCTCATACTGAGAGCTCCTCTACTAATACATACGCTTCACATACAGAAGGGTTTCTTCTTGGTAGAGAGCCCTGACAGGCTTAGGGCCAGACAGACTTGGATTAAATCCCAGTCCTTCAAGCTGACCCCCCATGAGAAGGTCTCTCAACTTTCCTGGGCTTGCTTCTCAAATGGTGATTGCAACATTATTATGTTGTAGGGAGAACTGAATTAATCAAGTAGATTGATTCTAGTTCCTGGATTATAGAGGCTGTTCAATCCACAATAATGTTCACTTAATGCAAGGAATCATTTTAGGATGGAATTCAGCTTAGGAAGGAGAATTCTAGTATTCATGAAATCAATTTGTTGGGCAAAAAGAAAAAAGTACTAAAAAATAGTAAAAGATTACGAAGTGTACTGGAATATCCTGGATAGTTCTCTGAATAGAGGATTAAATTGAAGAAAGATTTTAAAAGACAGTTTGGGGAAACTTTAGGCTTTGTAGTGCTTCAATGTTCTGCCCAAATACAAACAAGCTACCGGTTCCCCAAGCCTCACACCCTATATACTCTAGAAGTGACGGAGGCCCTGGACTTGTGTTAGCTGACGTTCTCTGCAGAGAAGCCATCAGACAATTATGACCCAGTCTGTTCCAGTTCCAGGGCATGCCCACTGAAGTTTTCTTTTGTGTTAGCGTGCCTTTGAGAAATCTTATAGGTAATATATTCCACTCATAATTTATTAAGGTCTGTTTCAGAGAGATTTGCGAGCCCTTTTGTGTTGGTGCACCTCCCTCTCCCTCCCTTTTTCTCTAAGCAGTGTTTCAGGCCCGAGTTCCTTTTCAAACAGCTCCCCTGTGATACTCAGCCCTGCAAATAAGCCATATTCAGAGGAAGGGAGCCTTGAAATATTGGTAGGTTTCATCCAGTTCTGCAGAAATGAGCCAGAAGCTTCAATCTGTATTTTTTTTTTTTTGAAGGAGAACAAATGGCCAAAGAAATGTCAGACCCTTGCCCTGCCCCAACCTGCTTAGAACAGCCAATTAAACGTGCATTAGCTTTGCAAGGCTTCTCAAAGGCCTATAGATTGTGCTTGAAATCTTTGTTTAGTCTTTCAGGAACACTGTCACACGGATGATTTATCAAAGAAAGTTGTTTATCTGGCAGTAAAATAAACTCTGGGCCTGTTCAGACTAAGATTTCTCGTGAATTTCTACCAGGGTAAACAGTGGTAACTGGCAGGTTGCACATTCTGTGTGAAAGCCAGACACATACGATAAATATTTGAACTATGGCTTTGCCTTGTAAGAGGCCTGCCTGTTACTAGCGCTGTCACTCCATGCCTGCCTGAGAGGACCTGGTATTGCCAGTAGCCTTACCACCTACAGGAGCTACCTCTGCTACGTGGGCCCTTCTGGTCTGAGTGCCACTTAGTGATGACACCTGGAACTTCCTGGTTGAGGGAGGGTAGACCTCAGGATGGCCTCCTTCAGCCCCACACAGACAGCCTATGATGGAGTTTGAGGGAAGTGAACTACAAGCAGATTTTTTTTCTTTTAATTGGCACTTGTTGAGTCAAACTATTAGAGAGCTGATTGCATTGAGCAATTTGGAAGCTGGGGCCTGGGCCTGGGGGTAAGGGATGAAAACACCTTCTGCATTCTGCTGAGTTTGAATTCTATTGGCAAAAAACCCACTGTAGATACGTCCCAGAGTCTGGCTTTGCTCCCTGGTGGTTTGAAGAGGTCCGCATGGGAACATGGGGCATAGAAGTAGGCGCCTAAGACATGTTTAAGTGACAGAGTGAGCAAACAAGTAAATGTGATGATGGAAAAGTTGAAGACCTGGAGGCCCTTTCAAAGGAAGAGCTTGTTTTAACTGCCTATAGTAGCTGCGTTACTTATTTTCTGTCCACCGTGACAAGATGCCTGACAGAAAAGATATAAAAGGAGCAGAGATTTATTTCGCTTCATGGATTCGGAGGGTTCATTCCATGATTACTTGGTGTCATACATTTAGGCAGAGCTTTGTGGTGATGGGAGTGTATGGCAGGAAGTTATGACAGACAGGAAGTCAAGAGCTAGAGAGGAAGGAAGCATGGACCTAATACCTCCAAGCACTTGCTCCCAGTGACATACTTTCTACAACTAGATCCTGTCACCTGATGTTTTCACAGCCTCCGAAAATAGCACCAGCAACTGGGACCACACGAACCCGGGCGGGGGTGGGGGCATGTCAGATCATAACAGTAGCTTACTGGAGGGGGCACTGAGTGGAGCTGCTTGTTCTCAGGCTGTCGTGCATGCTGAGGCTTCAGGATTACTCTGTCTTTGAAAGGGGCTCTTACTACAGGACTGGTGGAGGTGGTCATGGCTACCTTCTATAACTTAAGCTCTAACTGAGTCATTATTCTGATCTCCTTGCCCTGCAGAGATGGAAAGTGAGCCTTGAAGGGTTAATATTGATGTTTGCATCAGGGGGGCTTCTGGGGGCTCTAGGCTCAGGCGCACGGTGCACATGCTCAGGTTTGAGTCTTGACAGTGGTGTCGGGTCCCTCAGGCTGTGAGAGCAATTCCAAACCTTTTATGTTTAGGTAAGAGATGCTTACATTTAGGTGGATAAAGGATCATTTTCTTTGGAGCAGGAATTAAGAAAAATTATTTACAAATTCTGAAAGGATGTTGTGAGTTGTGAAGAGATGCCAAAATTGTACTTTGGCATTGGTGAAAATGAGGGGTTGTCCTAAGCCGGGTTCCTTCTCACTCAAGCAGGATTAGGAGATTTCTCTTGTCAGTGCTTCAACCGGCCTTCTTCCCAGGACATTTCCTTTTGGGATGGTCTTAGAGGTGTTTCCATTTTCAGAATTCATTCATGCAGTGTTTTCCATTGGTACCCACTTAGTTTTGGGAGCTGGCTGATGGCTGGGGGAATCTCTCCTTCAGTGTCTGCGGTCTCTGAGTGAGAAATGGACCTCGATAAGTGGTTCTAATCTTCAGACACAGCAGCTTTCTGAACAGCAAGTTCCATCCTGCAGTGCCTCACGCAGGTGGTATCACCAGCTTGTCACATGTGGCTCCTGGATCCCCAGACTTCTTGTACCCCTTCCATCCTCCTAGCTCCATACTGAGGATTCCGCTCTTGACCATGACACATTTGAGACACGGGAGGGTGAGACTAGCCTGGGCCACGATGTCACTTCCGAGGTGTAGTTCCAGCTTTCAGGTTTGAGGCCTTCCTACAGGTGTTGGAGAAATTCGGGGGATGAGTAGTTTCCTGTATCAGGCTTAAGAACAGTAGAAAGCAGTCAAAAAAAGTATTCCTGGGGTCAGGAGACAAGGACAGGGAGACGGAGTTAGGACCCCAACAAGAAGTTATGTTGAAGTGACCAAACTGAAATCACCGTAGAGTAGGTGAAGAATGCCTGATTTTCAAGTATAGCAACTAATTCAACATCGTTATTTAGAGCTAAGCCTGACCAAAACTTGAGGGTTCCCAGGTTGACAGAGGCATGTAGGAAGAACTTGGTTCTTGTGGTTTGCAACTGGCTCAGAGGGTGATGTAGTCTCATTAATGCTGGGCTTTCACATGGGGAACAGCAGCTGAAATGCAAACCACATGTAATTAACCAACTTGGTTGTGCCCGTGGCCCAAGCAGAGACACCATCCAGGTGAGGCTTGGAGGTAGGTGGGGAAGGAGTACATGAAGCAGGTACTTCTCATCCCTGAACAAGGTGCTGAGGTGCAGGAGGGCAAGACTACGTCTCTAACCTGAAGCAACACACTGAGCTTCCACCAGAGGAAGCAAGCTCTGCCTTGAGAAAGTCAGGGCCTTTTTCCTAAGGAACACAGGTGTAAGGAGGCTCTGTGAGGTGCCTGATGCTGGCCAGCAGCCTGCCTTTATAGATTGCAAATTCTTCATTTGACAGGCATCCATTTAAAAACAGGTGTGTGTTGTGTGGATTTTCTTCTGCAAATATAACCATCTGTCTTAGTTTGCCTTCAATTTCTGTGATAAAAACATTGACCAAAACCACCAACTTGGGGAAGAAAGGGTTTATTTGGCTTACAGGACAGTCCATCATCAAGGGAAGCCAAGGCAGGAAGCTGGAGCACAGACCGTGGAGGAACGCAGCTTACTGGCTTGCTCCTCTGGCTTGTGCTCAGCCTGTTTTCTTATATAACATAAAACTACCTGCCCAGGAGTGGCACCACCCACAGTGGGCTGGGCCCTCCCACATCACTTAACAATCAAGACAATACTTCACAGACATCACTGGCCAATCCAATGGAAGCAGTTCCCCAATTGAGGCTCCCTCAACCCAGGTGTGTCAAGTCGACACTAAAACTATCCAGCACACCACCCACAGAAGGGATTCACTCCTGTGCAGACTGAATTTGGTTGCTAGTCATGGGGCTTACAGAGTACAAGATTTACTTCATCTTTATACCATGTCTGTTTCAGGATCATCTTCTAAAGATATTTGGATGTGCAGCTGGGAGTGTTTGCAATGCTGTCCTGAGGATGTGGAAAGAGGGATCCTTCTAGTCAGCCAGGCATGGCAGCTAGAGAGCCAGCCTGAACAGTTAAAGAGCCAGCCCTGCTGGTTGAAGGGATCCAGGGGCCCTGAATTCTGCCCCTGTCATACTCTTGGAGAGGGAGGTGAAACCTCTGTTAGCCAAAAGTGAGTCCTTACCTGTGTGTATGAACAGGCAGGGCAGACTTCAGTGGGGTAATTTTTTAGGTTTCATGCTATCCTTTAAATTGTGCAAGGAATGAGAAGCCCCGGGGAGGACTCCTTGAGAAGGCGTGGGGCCCTGAGTGGGTAGGCACTGGCGAGGCTTGGAAAGGTGGGGTGAGCTCATGTTGAAGTTGAGGCACCTTTCCATCTTCATTGCGGGGGTCAGCTCAAGGCAGTTTTTGCTTTTCCCTGGCTTGCTTCCAGGTGCCTCTGTTCTGCCTCCGAGGTCATAGCACCAGCATTCCCGTAACTCTTTCTGTTAATTCCTGCTTTGGAGAAGAAAGTACCTGGACAGAGAGTTAATGTACTGTGGGATTGAACTGGGTATGTCATAATCAAGGCTTGCTCTGGTTAGGGTACATGAAATGGTTGTTCAGTGTGACTGGGATGCGGTTCCTGTCTCAACCTTGTACCCTGGCTTTACTATCTAGAGATCGGAGGGCACATAGGATGCTACCTGCTTAAATGCTGGAGTTCTTTTTCTTTTTCTTTCTGTTTTTTGGGTCTTTTTGAGACAGGGTCTCCCTGGAACCCCAGCTGGCCTGAAACTTGCTTTGTAGACCAGGCTGGCCTCCAACTCACAGAGATCTGCCTGCCCCTGCCCCCCCCACCCCACCCCGAGTGCTGGATTAAAGGTGTGAGCCACCATGCCCAGCAGGAGTTCTTATAGTAGCCAAGAGCTGGGGCCACGTAGTGAAGAGGAGGGAGGGAACAATTTTCTTAGGAAAGGGAGGAATTGAAGAGAAGATAACATGCCCGCCTGTAAGGCAGTGGTAGAGCTTGTCAGGCAGAAACGTGGGCTTGAGGAGATGTTCTCTGTGGAGGTCCCAACAGGGGTCAAGGTGGGGAGGCGTGACATTGGGGTTTACAGAATGGTGAGTATCTTTGTGGTCAGGCCACCCTTGGGATGGTGCTGAGTGTCTAGAAATGAGATTGATCAAGTAGGCAGAGGCCAGCTCATCAAGGGTCTTGACTGTCACTTTGTCTTCTTGGCAGTTAAGCGTCAGGAACCTACTTTAAAATGTTGCCATCACTCACTCTAATTAATAATCAAGGAGGGTGAGGAGGGGGAGGTGAAGAGGCTAGAAAGAGAGGTTGCTCATTAAGACAAGTAAGGAAGAGCTGATGGCGACATTCCAGCAGCAGTGGCCAAGATGCCTTGGACAGGACAACCCCTGAGCTGGGAGAGACCAGGGGCCCAAAGGTGGTTTTGTCTCTAAGAGGCTCAGGGCAGTGCTAACTGGGTCTGGGCCAGCTCAAAGCCACCCACCTGAGGGAGGGTGGCCTGATGGTGTCGGCGCGGCACAGCTTCCCCAGAAGCCGGAGAAGAACCATCTGCTGTGTCTGTGCTGGGTGTGCTGGGCAGGAGCCAGAGCCCATAATTAGCTCATACTTGGGTCACCACAGAGCTGGTCATTACCAAGAGTGGTCATCATTAGAAGCTGTCAGAGTGCTCTGTCCTTTCTCTCCTGAGCTTGTTTAGTAGCTCTGGTAAGCTGAAAACAGCTTTTGGTGCCAGCCCCATGATGGCTGGACTGATGACATTGGCCAGGGCTGAGGGACTGGGTCAGATCAGGTGTTTTGGCTTCTCTGGAGGAAGAAAGTAAGAGAGGGCATTGCTCAGTAAGGAACAAGGTGCGTAGGCGTATGTGTGTGTGAGACAGAGTGTGAGAGAGGGAGAGAGGGAGAGGGAGAGAGAGAGAGAGAGAGAGAGAGAGAGAGAGAGAGAGAGAGAGAGGGAGAGAGATTTCCCATTTCAGGGCACATGGTTGTCTCTGAGGGGCATGTGTCAGTACACCTGCACAGTATGTGGTGGGCTAGTCTGTGCACATGTGACTGTTGCTCATTTGTGAGTATAGATATATCTACTGTAGCATAGCTAGGCCAGGTGGCTGTTTGCAAATCTAAAGGCAGCCTCACCTCTGGATGCCTGTGTGGCTCTGTACATGGCCTTCAGTCAAGAAGCTTGAGGGGGGTCAGCTGGAGAGACAGCTCAGCAGTTAGGAGCACTGGCTGCTCTTGCAGAGGACCAGGGGTTCAGTTCCCAGAATCCACATGCAGCTAACAACCGCCTGTAACACCAGTTCCAGGGAATCCAACACCCTCTTCTGGCCTCTGAGGGCATTGCATCACACAGGTGCACTTACATACATGCAATACATTCATACAAATAAAAATAATAAAGTATTGGGGCTGGAGAGATGTCTCAGCAGTTAAGAACACTGGTTGTTTTTGCAGAAGACCTGGGTTCGAATCCCAGCACCCACATGGCAGCTAACAACTGTCCATAACTCCAGTTCCAGGGGATCCGACAGCTTATTCTGTCCTCTGCAGGCATTGCATGACATGGGTGCACTTACCTACATGCAGGCAATACACTCATATACATAAAATTAAAATAATAAAATACCGAAAAAAAATAATAAAGTATTAAAAAAGAAGCCCGTGGTTCTCTTTTCCCCTCAGTGCTTCACAGAGAGAGAGAGTGAGGAGCATACTGCTGCCTTTCCTGGTCTGGAAGGGCTTAGGGACTCGTCTGAGGAATTTCTCTTCAGTGATGCTGTCATGTGAACTGGAGGCCATGTCTAAGTAGGGAGCATGCTGCTATTTGGTGCTTTGTTTATTACTCCAAGTGCCAGCAGGCCCCCTGTGTGTAGGTTTTGGTGTCTGCAGCAAGTCTACAGCTGACTCTGTGGGCGAGATCACTTCTAGGAGAGCCCAGCAGTTGACAGGGATTGCCGTAAATGGCCTACTGTCTCTGGGGGTTTAAAAAGCATGTTGGAAAAAGCATATGCAAGGTTAGGAGTGACAGGCCTCAAGTCACAGGCACTCTCATATACCATGTTGGTGCAAGCTGCATACTTTGTGACTCAGTTTAGTCACCTGTCAAAAACAAAAATAAACATTTTAGTATCAGGATAAGATATGATGTGACAGAAAACAGCACATATTGTGAGGTCTTAGAAGCTAATTCCAGCATTGCTGTTGAACAACTTTATGACTTAGGCTAGCTGATTTGAACCTCTAAGTTTATTTTCTTAAGCAAATTGAGGAGTCTTTTTAGGTCAACTCTCCATTTGGAAATTAGGTGGATTTTGTTCTGCCAACCTTTGTGACGTGGTTTCTTGACATAGTATCTTTGTTGGCACCTCCCTGGTCCCTAGGCATGTTCTCTGGGAACACTGACCTTTCTACTAGGCATGTATAAGAGAGAAACCTGTGTCTGAGAGGGTAGAGCAGAGGCCAAGTTTCTGAGAGGGTAAGGTAGAATTCCTGGTCGAAGAGCTGGGTGACTGCTGTGGGGTGGGGGTAGGCCATTCATTGTAAAGGGCCCTGCATTTAGGGATCAGCATTCAGTCAGCATCTGGGTGGCCACTGATGTCCTGACCCTGGGCTCCTCTTTTTGGGCCATCCCCACAGAGGGGTGCCTCCTGAATGTGTATTGAAGTTCTTATTCTTCCCTGTGTCATCAGATGGATGACATAAGAACTTTGTTACCTGTGTGAAGTTGTTATAACATTTTAGGAAAGCAGAGAGCAAATGCTTTGCCGCCCTTTCCTCTCCCCTCCTCCCCTCCCCTCCGTCCTTCCCTCTCCTTTTCTTTGAGAATTGATTTCGTGTTTCCCAAACTGGCCTCAAACTTGCCATGTAGCTGAGCATGTCCTTACACTTCTGGTCCTCTTGCTTTTATCTCCCAAATGCTAGAATTACAGGGTGTACCACCATGCCCAGTCTGTGCAGGGCAAGGGGTTGTGCCCATGGCTTCCTGGATGCTAGGTAAGCACCCTACAAAGTGAGCCACATCCTTTGTGTGCCTTTTTTTTTTTTGAGACAGGATCTTCCTGTAGCCCCCTGCTGGCCTGGAACTTGCTGTGTAAACCAGGCTGGCCTCGATCTCACAGAGATTCGCCTGCCTCTGCCTCCCAAGTGCTGGGATTAAAGGCGTGAGCCCACCATACCTGCCTTAAATATTTTTTTGATTTATTTTTGCTTTTATGCACATGAGTATTTTGCCTGCATGTATGTAACTGTACAGAGGTCAGAAGACAGTGTCAGATCCTCTGGAACTGAAGTTACAGATGGTTGTCAGCCTCTGTGTGGGTGGGTGCTGGGAACTGAACCTGGGTCCTCTGCAAGAGCAGTTAGTGCTCTAAACCACTGAGCCACCTCTCCCGCCTCTCTGCTTTTGGATACAGAGTCTCACTATATAACCCTGGCTGGCCCGAGACTGGCTCTGTAGATTAAACTAACTTTGAACTTGTGGCAGTCCTCTTCTGTGTCTCTCCCAACTGTTAGGATTATAGGCATGCATTCTGATGCCCGGATCAGAACAAGTACTTCCTAAGCAATGGCTTCCTAAACCTGAGAACTGGGTCTTTTTCTGCTTCGCAATTTACTGCACATGTGGCTCTGCTCAGGGTCCCGTCCTCTGTGCCACAGTTTTCTCATCTGCCATACAGGCCTGATCGTACCTCCCTTGCTGAGCTGGTGTGTGTGACCCATGGCATTGTCTCTGTGCTCTGATCTCCTGGAAACTATAAAGCACAGTTCCCATACGACTTATTCCTCCCACTGTGGCAGCCGGTCAGAGGCATCATGTTATGGTTCTGTGTGGTGATCCCATGGTGGCTTCCTCCTCAGATTGGGGCCTGGTGGCTTGCCCTGCAGAGCCATTTTCCCCAAAGCATTCATAATTCATAATCTGCCCTTTCCTTAAAAAAGAAAACAAAAAATATGAATGTATTTACAAATGTGTCAAACCTAAATCAGGGTAGTCATGCTAATGTTTCTCTCAGAGGAGCCTAAAATGAATTTTTCAAGGTTATTAAAATATAGGCAGGACTGACATTGAACATCTCTCGGCTCACGGGGGCGCTAATGTCAACATACCACCCTGAGAGCTAAAGCTCTGGATAGGAAATGATGCTTGGAGAATCAGGCTTGAGACTTTGAGGACCTTCAGACACTGGGGCAGCTGGGGCATATCTGGTGACCATCAGCTTCTAGTAACAAGTGGCTGTGCTTTTATTGACACTCTGACCCAATGTGGAGCTAGTGTTCAGTGTCTCCATGGCCCATGGTGACCGATGCAGATGTTTTGTGGGCAGGTTTTGTGAGAAGTGAGCTGCTGTGTTGGGGTGACTGCCCTCTTTTCTAGGGATGTCAAAGTTATCTACCCCACGTTTCCCTTCAGATGGATGACCCTGTCTGCATGTGATAGTTACAGACATCAGGAGGGCAGTAACTGAGAGACATGAAGCTGCCTCACCCAGCAACGGGAAGAAGACTCCGGCTTTGTAGCCCAGGACTCGGGAAAGCTTTTGCTCCAGCCTGTCCTGGTAGGCAGGAGCATCTGGTCACGCCTCCCTCCCCTGTAGCTCCGTCTTGGTATCAGTTTTCCTGGTGATTTTGAAAAAGCTACTTTTTGCCTTCACAGTTGCATGTTATGTGGCATGGGGGTGGGGGTCGGGGGGAGGCCGTGCATGAAGCTTCCCGTCATCGGGCAAGGAGTAGAATCAGTATATTGTGTTGCTTTCCCCTTGACTGACAGCTATTTGCCTAGAGCCTTCTTTTCTTACAGAGTTAATGTATCTCCTGGCACACTTTCTGGTTTGCAGTGATTGCTCCACACTGAGAACAGGCTGAGGAAAGCTTTTCCTCATCACACCCATCCAGGTCTGCTTTTCCTATGCTCTTTGGGGTTCAGGTCTGTAGAGACTTTCCTGTGCCATCTAGCTTCCTTCAAATGGAGGTCAGAAGTTCTTTCAGCCTAGAGGATCACAGAGCCCCACACTCCCAAATCTCCAGTAAAGATACCAACTTTTGATGTGGCCTAGAGTTGGTGGTGGGTGTCCTCCTAAGCCTGTCTGTAATAGGTCCCTATCTTACCTGAAATGCTGTCAAAAGACAGGACCCCGACACAGCGGGACAAGCTCAAGGGAGCTCGGGGAGTTTCCTGAATTGGGTGGGAGGAAATGTGGGGCTGTGACCCCGATGTGGCTGGTCAGTGGCCCTGGAGTGGAGGGGGGCGGCCTGCCAGGGCCTCCCAAACTCTGGGAGCGGAGGACATGGAGGACGGTGAAGGGGCCTCCAGCCTGGCCTTCCCTCCCTGCGGCAGCCGCTCTTCTGTCCGGAAGTGACTGGATGCCCAGCTGGGTTTTGCTTCTTCAGTGCAGTTTCCGAGTTGGCCCTGGAACAGGAGAGGGCTGCTCTGTGGGGAGAGGCCGGAGGAGGTCGTGTGTGGGGAAATGGAAGGGCGGGAGGGGGCATGGACGGCGGCCGCAGCCTGTGTGGGAATGACCCGGGTGGGCGTTTTCTCCCTGCACTTTCTGGAGCTGCCCCACTGCTTGCCAAGGACTGTGGCCGCAGTGCCAGGCTTCCTTGCCCGAGCTGCTCCCGCACTGCACGGCTGAGGCCTGGGCTGCAGAGCCTGCCGCCCCGCGCGCATCCGTCCCCATTTGGTGGTGGCCGAGCTTCGGTGAGCTGCAGCCTGTCACAGCCGCAGGAGCCTCTGCCTGGTGCCTGGATGGAGTTTCCGTGGAAGGACATCCACTGAGTGCCCCATGGTGTTACCGCTCCGGAGAAACAGCTCTGATGGGCAGCACTTCGTCCCACAGTGTGGCTGGTCCTTGTGAGACCCCATCGGGGCTGGACCTGGAGCCACGGTTCCTCCCGTTCCTCGGGTCTGGGCCTGTTTAATAAGAGCCTTCCTTCGACTTGGGTCTTCCCAAGACCTCAGTGCGGTGGACTCCATCCCTGCGTGTAGATGCGCCTCTGTGTGTTTGCGCCTTCCTGGTAGCCTTAGGAGCTGGTTTTCTCTGGTACTCACACATCGGATCAGTTGCAAGCAAGTAATGAGGGTGGCATTGGGCATGAGGACAGTCCGCTCATGCTGCACTTGGGCCCAGCTAGGACAGCTGTGTGGTGGTGGGTTGATGGGGGCCAAAATATTGGAGGAATTAATTCCAGTTTTTACTTATACAAAAATGAGTGTTGGGGCTGAGAAGATGGCCCAGTGGATAGAGTGCTTGCACTGTGAAGACTGGAGTTCAGATCTCCAGAACCCAGACAAAAGCCAGGAAAGTCTAGAAGCTCATTTGTAATTTTGGCGTGTGGGAGGCAGAGACAGAATCCCTGGAGCAGAGTGGCTAGTTAGATTAGCTAGATGGTCTCGGATAGCTCTAAGGAGCTCGGCCTATATGGAGGACTTCCTTTCTCAGCAGGGGCCTCCTGCTCTCTGCCCGACCTTTTCTGGAAAGTGCCTCCAAGCACAGATTCCTGGCCTTATTTGGAACATGACCTTTGGCATAGTTACCTGCAATAAACTGCCCCCGGTTTTTTTTCTATATGATAATTAGGCATTTCCCTATAGCCAGACGAGAGGATCCCCCTACCACATGTAAATAAAGCATCCTATGAGCACCTATCATGTAAAACTTTGGCTACCGCCTCCACCCTATACTTTTTCCTGACCCCCACTGCATAAACAAGCTGTATCACTGAAACTGACATCCAGAAGGTCTTTTCTGTGGTGCTCACTGGCCGACCGTCCTGACCCTGTTAGTCACCTCTGCTCCCTTTGTTCTCGTGGGTCGGTGGCCAACGGCCCACGAGGAGCGGGAGAGACCCACAATAGAGGGACACATACACATCAACCTTGGGCCTCACCACATGCAGGTGCACACTTGTATGTACCCACACATGAATACGTGGAAACATACACGCATACCACACACATAGGCATGTGCAAAAAAATGTTGATCTAGGAGGCTTTTTGTAAGCTCATCGCTGATTTTGGTTTGTTGTGCTCAAGGGATCTGATGTCTTTCAGTCCATCTTGGGAAGGCCAGCCACGAGATAAGTGTGGTGCCAACTCTGGTTTGCTTTTAGATTCTTGGCTTCAACTAAACCCATCTCAGGCCAAAACCAGTTTTACCTTGGGGAGAGCAGCATTCATCTCCATCCTGTTGGGCGTCCATGGTCATCTACCTAGATCTGTGCACATTTCCTGTGGGCCTCTGTGGATGGGTGACAGGAGACCTGGATGTGCTGTGTCTCCCTCTTGTTAAGCTCCCTGCACACTGCTGTAGTGCTGTAATCTAGTGGGTGCAGAAGGTCTGTGGAGGACCAGGGCTTAGTGGGCCCTTGGCACTGGCTCAGGTCTAGAGTCAGGGCGGTCAGCCAGGGTTTCCTTACTGTGAGCACATAGCCTAGAAGGGCTAAAAACAAACAGAAAATTCAAGTGTAGAGAGTTGGGCAGACAGGCAGGATCTGAAACAAGAATGAGCACAAACCTTAACTGACTGCGACACTGTGGGGTCACCGAGGAGGTGGGCTTGTGTCTAGGGACAGAACCGACACTGTTATGATGAAGAGTTTGGGGCATTGGTTTTGTTCTTGGTCTTCTAAACACAGGTGTGAAGAGTCAGACATAGATACCTAGAATGCCCTTGGAGGGAAATGGGGTCACTCTGAGCTGCACGAGACCTGTCCTGACCCCAGGCCAGGAAAGCAGCATTTCACAACAGAAAAAAGACATCTGGGGCCCAGGGACCCTGGGTATCATGTTCATTTTGTGAGCTTGGTTCCCTGGGATCAAACTCCAGCTCCCATTGTGTAGCTGAGACGTGGGCAAATGGCTTGACGCTTTTCATCTGTGTCTTCCAGAAGCTCCTAAGCCCAGTATCTTCTTCATGGGGCTGTTAGAGGACTTGGGAAATGCACAGAGCCAGCTCTGTTGCTAGTGCTAAAGAACGTGTTTGTGTAAAGTATTCCGGTTTCATGAATGAGGCTGTTTATTTAGGGCAGTGACTGTGTTTCCATGTTTTCCTTCATTTCTGTGCCCAAGAAGTGCTTAACTGACAGCTCTGGTGGTTGAGGCCTTGTGGTAGTCACTGGACAGAGTTTGTAAAAGGCTTGTAACAGAGGAGAGGGTGGAGAAGGCATGTCCATGAGTCATTATCATGCAAAGACATTGAGGGCTGTTCAGGGCAAGGCTGGACCTGGCTGACTGGAGGTTTCCTAGAGCTGAACCACATGTTGGCTTCCAGGATGGGAAAAGTATACCTGTGCCTCTACATGGATCAGCCTGGGAAACTAGTAGAGGAAAGAGAGCTTAGGTGTGTCTGTAGCTTTTTCAAAAGCTACCATCCTGGGGGCCATCGCCTCTCCTGGGCCTCTTCTTGCTGTTCACCATCTTTGGAGTGTGTTGTGGGTCCTTCTCTGTGGGTCTTTGAGTTTCGACCGAGGTGGTACTCTTGGGCCTTTGCTTTTAAAGTAGGGATGGGTTGGGGCAAAGTCCATGGGCAATCTGAGCAGGTGAAGGCCACCTTTGTTAACTGAGATATTTATCCTGGGGTGGCCTGGGCAGTATTGGATATCAAAAACAAGAAGGAAATTGGATTTAGATTTAGATTGCCAGGGCTGGAACAGTGAACTTCCTACACATTTGCTTAGCAAATGGTTATACTGAGAGCCAGAGAAATAAAATGGTTTACCTAAGTTTACACAAAAGTTGGTGGTAGAGTTAGCTGGGGTCTACTAACTCTGGAGGTAGGCCCATTTTCTTCCAAAATGTGCTGCCTCTTGGTAGCCAAGTCTTCTTTGTTTTCTGGCTTTACAAGTGCCACAGCTAAGGGACCTGCCCTATGGACCTCACTGACTATAAATGTTGCCAGGTCCAACGGCTCCTTGCCTGTCAACCCTTTAAACTGGTGGTTCTCAAGTGTGCTTCCCCAGCCCAGCAGCATCAGCATCACTTGAGAACTTGACAGAAGGGTGAACTCCGAATCAGCAAGTCCGAGGGGAGCTCTCCTTTAATATGTTTTTGGGTGCTTCTGGTGCTCAGGTCTGAGGCTTGCCATCCTAATCACCTCTCAGAGCTGAAGAGAGCTCATCACTTTTGCAGTCCGTGCATTCTGAAGCCCACCTTCCTCCTATCCTTTTCCTTTCAAGAGGTTGTGCTATATTCCAACTTTGCCATTTGGGCGAACACTAGGAGGAGGTGGAGTGGAGAGGACTGGATATCCAGGGACCCCATGGTGGGAACAGCTGTTTGTCTTGGCAGATTTATGTGGACTTGGAGCCAAGATTCAATCTTATGACTGATTTCTTCTTTTAAAGAAATATTTTATTTATTTATTTTTAAATTTTATGTGTATGAGTGTATTGCCTGCGTGTATATAAGTGTGCCTGTGTTGTGCAATGCCCACAGAGGACAGAAGAGGCCATCAGATCCTCTAGAACTGGAGTTACAGACAGTTGTTAGCTGCCATGTGGGTTCTAAATTGCTGAGCCATCTCTCCAGCCCTGTGACTGACCTTAGGTGATTCTTCTCAACCTCCTGATTAGTGGGTGGAGGTAGTTATGGTGACTCCTGGAAGAGGAAGGGCCGAAGCTCTTTGTCCTATTCTGTGGCTCAAATTCTTGGTGCCAGAGCCACCAAGGTAAATACCTTATGAAATAAAAATTTCAGTGGGGATGCAATTCAGTCCATGAAGTCAGATAGTTAACAGTAGGATTCTGGATGGCTAACACTGAAGATGCTGACCTGTGTGTGTGTGTCTGTGTGTGTGTGTGTATGTGTGTGTGTGTGTGAGAGAGAGAGAGAGAGAGAGAGAGAGAGAGAGAGAGCAAGCAAAAGTGGAATTGGAAGGGGTAAAATGTTTTCTTGTATGACCATCTCCCTAAATTGTCTGGGATCCAGAAAATAAGCCAACTTCAGTTCAGTAATTGGCCCCAGATGAGTCACTCAGAATTCTCTACACCTGTTGTTCTTTTTAATTTTAATTTTATTTTTTGGTATATATACCATGTAGTCAGTACATGCCTGGAAATAAGCAGTGTGTGGTTTGTGGTCAGGGGAGAGAGTCTGAGTTCCTGCGACAGAGTGCCAG